TAGGCGCGTTTTCCTTCTAGGGAGCTGCAGTGTTGGGAGTATGGCGGGGAGGGGCAGGCGCAAGCCCACCCATAGCTCCACGGGGGACTTGCAGGCTCAGCCCTGCCTCCCTGGCAGAATCACGCTCAGGGAAGTAAAATGAAGGGAGCACTCTTCACCTGGAGGAAAAAGAACCAAATACCCTTGAGCGGAGCCTCGTGTTGCCCCCGACATAGCTTGGCAGTGTCTCCTCCCTCCGAGGGCTGATCGAGAATCGAGGACTGGCTGGGTATAAATCCCGCAACCAGGCCCAAGACGCCTCCGACCCTTTGCCTGGTGAGGTGCCACCCGTTTGTTTCTCCTTCAGGTTGGGCTCATCTGGCCAGCGGCAGCCTTCTCTGGAGGGACCAGTGGGGTGCCAGCCTCCCCGGGGATTGACATCATCTGCTCACGCCATCTGCATGTGCGTGCAGGGGGGTGGTTTCTCCCCTAGCGCCACCGAGCTCTCCTCCTCACCGCTCTCCTCCTCACCGTTCGTTGTGCATCCCAAGGCAGCAGCTCTCAAATGCAGAGGAACAGCTGGTCTCCATGGTGACCGTGGGCATGACGCATTTCGGGTCCAGACGAGCGAAGGCCCGATGGAGGCTGGCGGGGCAAAGGAAACTGCACTGGCAGGGAGGCCCTGCTGGCCAGGAGGGACAGGGACGCTCCCTCGGGAGCTTGGGCAGGGGTGCAGATGCAAACAGCAGCTGGCCAAGGTCACCCGCGTGCAGGAAGGGCGCCCTTCGCAAACATGTGCCGCCGCCTCTGCAGCAGCTGAGGACCTCTGCTTGTGGGCACGTGAGGCAGGGGGTCACTGGTGGCTCTGGGGAGGCCCCAACCTCCTGAAATGGCGCTATTGGGCAGGCAGGGCCTGAGAGGGGAGGGGAGGTGCTCCCGTCCAACCCCGCAAGGCTGCTGTTGCTGCTGCCCTCTTCCCCCCCCCATCCTTATCTTCCCTCGGGGCCAGTCTCCCCACCACCCCATCCGTTGCCAGCTGGGATCGGTTACAGCACTGCACCCGAAGTTCAGCCCCAGAAAAGGGGCGCTGGGCCCACGCTTGGGGGTGGGTCCTGTCCTGGGAAGAGGGGGGCCGAGCAAGACTCCCCCAACGGGGCCTGAAGAATAAGACCAAGCGTGGGGAGACGACGGGATAAATCCGTTTTTATTCATTCAAGGAAGACTAAATAAAGGCTACATTGTACCAGAGGTTTGTCTCCGTTTTATTGTTACGTTATGATATTGTCGTCTTGCCTACGTGTTCGTCGGTGAGCTGCTCTCTCTCCAAAAACCCGTTGTGCACAGTAGCTCATGTCATGCTGGCCGCTGAGAGGAAAACTAATCAGGACGTTATATTTACAGCGCGAGGGTTGCCGCGCCTTGCCTCGAGCTCCAGGAGCACCACTGAGGAGTCGGGACGCGCCGCCGCAGCCGGGAGAAGCGAGGCCCCTTCCGCATCGCGGACTGGCCGGCCTACCAGGCAGGAGCCGACAGGAACCACGGCCGAGAGTGAGCAGATGCCCGCGCGCACGCGAGGGTCTCCGGCGCAGCAGGCGGGGCGCATTCACACGCGCGCGGGGAGGAACCAGGTTGCAGAAGATACAGCTCCAGAAGCAGCCAGCCGCGTGGAACAGTTTCAGTGGGTTTTATGGTGAATGCCCGTGACCCCCAAACTGAGAAGCTGCGAGACTGCCCGAGCCCCAAGGCCCCCGGCAAGCCCCCAGGCCCCATCGCCTTGCAGGTTTGCACTGGCTGGGCGCGCACAGAAGCGGGGGCTGGCCGGCGGGCCGGC